AGTTGGAGGAAACAATATGAATAGAAATCGTACTAGGCACCTTTGGGATTGCATCAACAAATGTGGCCTAATTGACCTTGGGTTTAAGGGTAGTAAATACACTTGGAGTAATCATAGGAGGAAAAATAAGGGGCTAATAATGGAAAGACTTGACAAAGTCTTTGCAAATAGCGATTGAATAAATTATTTTCCAGAAGCAACCGTCACACACTTGCCCAAAACTCATTCTAATCATAACCCATTACTGCTTCAATTAGTCCCCAAAAAATCAAATATCCCTAATAAGCCTTTTAGATTGGAAACTTTTTGGTGCCGCCATCCAGCCTTAACAATCTAGTTAAAGAAAATTGGATTAACTCAAATTACCAGGATTCTTCTAGCACCTTCATTAACAGTGTTAAAGAATGGAAAAATAACATTTTTGGTGATATTTTTAAAAAGAAAAAAAAGAATTCTTGCTAGGATAAAAGGTATTCAAGATTCAAGTTACCCCTATAGTACCTTTCTCCAAGAATTGGAACGATCCCTCCAATTAGAATATAGTAACTTCCTAAAAATTGAAGATGATTATTGGAAACTGAGAGCTAGAATATCGTGGATTCAAGAGGGAGATGCTAATACAAAATTCTTCCACATTATGGCCACTAATAACAGAAGAACCAATAGAATCTCTTTCTTCAAAGACGACCAAGGTAACTGGATCAATGACCCTTTAGAAATTCTAAAACACACCTAAAATTTCTTCCTTAACAATTTCACAACTTCCCATGAATATTCAGACTGGCTAAGTATCTGCCGAGATCCAACAAACTTCCAAACAACTGACCTAAGAAGTTTGGATAATCCTCTTCTCACCTCTGAGGTTACAAGAGCTATCTTTTCTTTTAAACCTTATACGGCACCAAGTTCGGACGATATTCACCCTTTTTTCTACCAGAAATATTGGAACATAGTGGGGCCTTCTGTCATCAATATCTGCACGCAAATCTTCAAAAATAACTCCATCCCAAAAGATTTGAATAAAACCTATATCTGCCTAATCCCAAAAATCATTAATGCAAACAACCTAAAAAACTTTAGACCTATAGGTCTTTGTAACACTATTTACAAGATTATTACAAAAAATATTGCCAATAGAATAAAACCTTTTCTAAATGAATTAATCTCCCCATATCAGGCTAGCTTCATCAAGGGGAGGAGAAATAACGACAATGCTATCATATTGCAAGAGATCATTAACCAATTAAAGAAAATAAAAGGGAAAAAAGCCAATATGATCCTGAAATTGGATTTAGAAAAAGCTTTTGATCGCCTAGAATGGTCCTTTATCCATCGAACCCTTAAGTACTTCAAGTTTCCAAAATCAATCTCAAAATTAATTATGTCTGCACTAGCAATATAGCAATCTTAGTCAATGGTTCTGTCACGAAGTTTTTCAGTCCAAGTAGAGGAATTAGACAAGGGTGCCCCCATCCCCTTATATTTCATACTTTGCATGGAAATGTTTTCAAGACTTATATCTCACCGGTAGATATCTGTCAATGAGACCCAATTCACCTAAGCCCGGGAGACCCTGACATTTCCCACTTATTTTTGCTGATGACCTCACCCTGATGGCTAGAGTTGATGAGAAATCTTGCAACTCTATAAAAAAGAGCCTTGATCTTTTTTGCAACCTCTCCGGGCAGAAAATAAATCATCAAAAATCTAAATTAATCCTATCCAAAAACTATCCTCCTACTTTAGCAAAAAGAGTTGTCAATATCTTCAACATCAAAATAAGCAGCTATTTTGGGAAATACCTAGGATACCCTATTCTCCACAATCAACCATCCAACAAAGACTACCAATTCATTATTGAAAACATGCATAAAAACTATCTTCTTGGAAAGCTAAATTCCTCAATATTGCTGGGAGGACAACTCTGGCAATCTCCACTTTAAACTCTATCCCTAGTCATGTAATGCACTACACGTACCTCCCAGTAAAAACTCTTAAGGAAATAGACCGAATCCAACGCAACTTCATTTGGGGAACCACCAATGAATCAAGAAAAATGCACTACATTAACTAGTCCAATGTTACAACTAAAAAAGATCAAGGAGGCCTCGGACTGCAATCAGCTAAAAATAAGAATTTACTCTCCTCAAGTAACCTTGCATGGAGAGTCATGACTAATGCCTCAGCTCTCTGGTCCAAAATCCTCATCAAAAAATATGCCAGTAACAAACCCCTTATTAATACTTCTTTCATTTGGAAAAGTATCACTAGAGGTTGGTCCATTTGTTCCAAAGGTATCACTTGGCAACCTAGCAAAAGTTCGGGCCTCAGTGTTTGGCACTCCAAATGGATACCAGACCACCAGCCATTTCGTTTGACTATCCAAGGTCCCCTCAAAAAACAAGAAGAAACCATGAAGATTAAAGACATCATTTCTGACAACCATTGGGACCTTAATAAAATATCCTTCAAAATTCGAAAGGATATAACTACTAGTATCAACCAAATTCCAATGCCTCTGAAATCTGGCTGCTGTGATACTCCGATATGGAACCTTAATTCTAATGGCTGCTACACCAGTAAATCATGCTCTAAATTACTCCAAATAAGCACTAACCATCAATATGACTTCAAGTGGATCTGGAAACTACATTGCCCTAATAAAATAAAATAAAATCTCTGGCAATGTCTCCATAATAGAATTCCATGTCGTCAATATCTTTATCACATTGGTATTAATATAGATAAACAATGCCCCATGTGCCATAATGAAGATGAATCCATCACACACATCTTCACAAATTGTTCCATTGTTAAAACCCTATGGGAGGATCTAGGTATCAGGAACCCCACTCCCCCAAACAATTAGCACTGTCTAAGACATCTAAAAGATAGCAATACTAGCTTCCAATCTCCCTATATCAACTGGCATCAACTCTTTCCTTTTATCATATGGGGAATATGGATTAACCGGAATAATAACAACTGCAACAACACTACTAACACTCCCAACCTCCAAAGACTAATAAATCAATCCATAGAGTTCCATTTCATGAACTCAAGAATGGTCACCACACATCTTAAGAACAAAATCAATATTAAATGGCACCCTCCCCAAACAGGCTGGACTAAGCTTAATATCGACGGGGCATTTGATAAAAAAATGAGTGGCATAAGTGGTATTTTCCGGGACTCCTCAGGAAAATGGATAATAGGATTTCAGAAATCTTGTTATAGTCTTTTTCCCCTTCACACTGAATTGCAGGCACTATATGACGGACTACAAGTGGCGCACAGGTTCAAACTATTTCCATTGAAAGTGGAAACTGACTCAACCGATGTTATCAATGCAATCAACAATGGTCATAGCACACTAGCCAATCTAATATACTCTTGCAAGTTGTTAAGACGCCAGGAGAAGCACCTACTACTACGGCATAACTTTAGAGAAGGAAATGCAATCGCAGATGCATTAACTAAGGAAGCAAAAAACAAAGAAAAAGATTATAAGCCAGAAGAACTAAAACTATATGTTGTACCGCCGTTTTGTGTACAACAAATGCTGGCCATGGACATGAGCGGGACTAGTAAATGCTCAAAGGAATTATCTATTTCTGCTTGTAATATGCTAAAAGCAATGGNAGAATATTTAGTAAGGGAAGGCAATTAGTGAGGCTTAGAAGTGGCTAGCCGAGGAAAAAAGCGTATTTACCTCCACAAGATGAATATATATTAAATTTTTACTGCATAATTTCAGTATGATAAATGATAGCACAAAGCATGGAAACTTGAATGGACAAACATTGACCTAAACTAAGCAATAAGTCTAATAAAAAACTACTCCCTCCTGTCCATTTTTATTGATTTTTGATTTTTTTTTTGTGGTCCACTATTTAATTATTTTGAAATATCAAGATGGAATTTACTCTTTTTTTTCCCTCAAAGTTATCTTTGGAGTAAAAGTCTTGTAGAATGTGTTACAAATTAAAGAGATAGTAATGGTTAATAAGGTAAATTTCATTGTTAACTAAAGTTAAAAGATGGATTGCTTAAGCAAATATGTTGCTCCTTTAGGTCCAATATGTAGTTGGATAACCAATGGGCAAGTTACACTCTGGCCGATTGGCCAAAAATAATTACAATTGCTAGCCAAATTTACAAAAAAATATGTCTAAATTATGTACATTATATGGATATTATACGTTAATATATACAAAAAATATATATTTTGATGGTTATTATTTTTAAAAGCGACTATACTATATAATTTTTTCCTTAATTTAATTATTTTATTGTGTACCTACTATCTCTCACTAGAATAGGTGTCAAGTGACTTCACCTCTTTTATTACAATTGACAAAGGATAGTTTCAGAAAGATTTTGGAATTGTCACATATGAAACCGAGCGGCCTTCACGGCGTCCGAGGTTCTCCAATATCAAAAAAGCTATGGTCCATGCACCTGAGCACGTCCCAGTCTCACACATAAGTCACCATGCAAAGAGATTCCATACAAAGAGCATGGTTTTTAAGAGAGACAAAAACAGAAGATCTCCCAGCAACTTCTAGTTTGTCAAATACTGTCAGATTTTTCTATTACAGCAACGCTATATAATAATCATTCACTATAAAAATCAAGTTTCTTTTGGAACCAATTTTCATGCTATGTTATAATATATGTTCCGCTATAACAACACTTCGTTATAACAACCAAAAAAATCTGGAACAAACGAAACTGTTATAGAGTGATTTGAGTGTACTTACCAAGAGAAATGTCATTATTAACTTTTTAAGTCAAGAAAAAGAAAAACGGGGGGGGGGGGGGGGGGGGG